TATAAAAGGTCTGAAATGCTCTTTCTTCATGGTTCCAGAAGATTTCCTTCCTTGGAGCTGCCTGCAGTCTGTAGCACAAAATTAGCTCAGACAAGTGAGACTGCTTTTACCTGTGCTCCTATAAACTGGGAGATAAGGAGGAATTTGTGAATGGTGCTGTGCATATCAAAGGCATCTCCAGGGCCTTACAGCCCCTCCGTGCTCCAGATGCCTGAAATGTGCATGTGAATAGAACAGTGGTCAGAGAAAAAGGAACTTGTGCTCCTTCTTATTCTCCAGAGTTAGTTTTTCAGTCCAGGTGGGGGACTGCTGGCTCAAACTGAACTTGCTGTCAACCAGGACCCCCAGATCACTTTCCAAGAGCTTCTTTCCAGCCTCTTGCTCTCCTTCCCCACTCTGACAGCTCTGCCACATCCGTCCCAGGATATTGTGTTTGTATCATCTTCCCAGACTTTCACACACAGAAGTTAAACTCTCCTTCCCAGGACACAAGCCTGGTGGAGTTTGGAGTGGAAGGAGGTGATGTAGAAATGGGTTTATATTGTCTCATTCCAGGCTTAATCAAGTTCCCTTCTCAACTGTCTTCATGCTGAGGCAGAAAGTAGAATTTGTGAGTGTCTTCCTCAGCCCTTCATTCTCCTGTCCCTGTGGTGTCACTCACCTGGTGGGCAGTCTGTAAATCCAGCTTAAATAAATCTTGGTTATTTACATCAACTCTAACAGTTACTTTTGACAAGACTGTGAGAGGCCCATCTTATTTCTCACCTTTTTTATCCATCTTGTACTAACCTGAAAGGACTAACTCCCTGGAGGGAGTTGTATAATTTTTGTCCTCTGTTGTATAATTTTTTTCTACATCTTCAGGTTTTTGGGAGGATTGGAGAGGAAATTTTCCTTTGAAATCACTAAACATTTCTCTGTCACTTAAAGACACTTCTCATCTGACTCCAGTCAGTATTTAATGCCCTGAATTTATGGTAAGGGAACAGTTCTTGTAACTGGCAATCAGGAATGTCATCATTGAAGTTCCTGATGTAAAAAAGAGCTGCAGGAGGTGCCAGGACACTCTCACTGCTACAGGAGACTCCCAGCTCTCTGCAGATGGACTGTGAGGGCTGGCTGGTGTCATGTTAGCTGGAGTTCCCATCAGATTTCTGCTTCTCCGTGGAATAAAGACCATATGGGAGCCAGGAGAGAGGTCATTTCAATGCCTTGCTTGGTGATTTTGTGTGACAAGAGATGTCAAGTTTGTGGTATTCTGTCCCTTCTGACAGACAAATGGGGAGTGAGGCAGGACCAAGGCTGGGAGGGGGTTATTTTCAGAGGGGTCCCAGACATGCAACTTCTAAGGCAAAGATTTTACTGCTGATAAAGTACAGGCACTGACAGAAGCTGTCACCACCCAGATAAAACCTTTTTTATTTTTTTTCCCCTATCAGCAGCTGCATATAGCATCTCCCCATTGGCAGAATAAATCTGATAAAAAAATGTAGTTGTAAGCAGCAACGGTTTTATCCTGGTGAAAAGATTTTATCCAACAAGAAAAATGTTGTGCCTGGGCATAATTTTTCAGATATGATGAACAACAGCATGGTATGACCCTCAGTCCTAAGGATTTCATGTTAAAAGAACTACTGAGCATATCAGATATACTCAACTTTTTCCTCTGCTGTATTTTTTTTTCCCATTGGCAGAGTTCAGTTTATAGATACATCTTGATAAAAATCTGCCAGAGGCAAATTTCAACAAAAGAACAACTTCAAATACATCCAATTAACAATTTATGAAAGGAAATCCAACAGAAAATTACACAGAGATTCACAGGGCATAAAATTTGTCACTAAATCAAATTTATTGTGGAAATGCCTGTACAGGGAGTTATGGCCCCTTCTAGTGCAGTGTCAAAGGGAACTTTATCTGTGGAGGCTCAGCGAGTGCCCTCCATCTGATCTTTTCTTGCTATAAATAAAATGTTTTGTCAGACATGGCAATGAACATAACTCAGAAGGGAATGAAGAGCACTGATAAGCCCAGCTATATGCAGCTTTCAATCAGAGGCATTAGAAGTGATTAGATTTCTTCAGAGTTTCAGATTTAAGATTTTTTTTTGCTTTGTCAGAGAAAATGAGGGCTCAGTACCATGGACAGCACAAAAAAAAAAAATCACTTTTATTTGTTAGCGCGGTGTACAGACCCTGATAGCAGCTCATGGTGTCTGCATTTAACATTATTATGGAGCCATTTTTATGTCTGGAAGGAAATACCAGTCCCTCTGCATCCTGTTGTTTTACTGATTTACTCATTCAGTGGCTGTGGTTGGATTTTTTTGGAAGATGTTAAGGATGCAAACACATGTAATTGCCTTCAGCAGTTCTGAAATTAACTTAGGTCACTACTTTGTTTAGAAAAAAAAGATCTGTGTCTAGACCTTTACTGATTTAAACACATGGGTAGCTGGTTTTCTTCTAAAAGATGACTGAGCAGCAGCCCTTGCATTGTGTTTCCTGAGTAATTTGCAGGGGGGATGTGTTATTTACAGATACCAGGCCCAGCAAGTGAGGATGACAAATAAAGTTGACACAGGCCAAGATAAAGCATATTTGTGGTACGGCTGTGCTATTCCATGGACTAACCTAATCTGAAGAGCTGGTTGCTGCCTCTGCTGTTGTCCCTGTGCTCCCACATCAGAACAGGAAACATTTGAGCACTTGCAAATTTGTCATCTTCCCCTGAAATTCAGACCTGCATAGGACAAGCATGGCTTTGAGTGTCCATTCGTGGGCATTGAGGTCCTTGGTGCAGTGTCCTTGCTGCCACCAGAGCACAGAAATTTCATCAGAACACTTCTCCTGTGTTTCCACAAGGAAGATTCTTAGGATCTTCCAGCCCACTTGGCCATGTGCAGTTTGCCTCTGCTTGTCTGAGCCCACTGGTGAAGATGAGAGGACACCTCTGTCACTAAATGAAGCATTAGAATACCCCAAGGGTTTTTTCCAGAGTCCATTAATACACTCTTTTGGCACTGAAACACTGTACCAGGAAAGTTAGTGTCCAAGGCACGTAATAATTAGTGAATACAACACCCCCAGAGCATCTTAATCCTATTAAAATATGTCTTATAAAGTTTAAATTAATCTTTAACGTAATTTTAAATGATTATTTTCTTCCTGTAACACACCCTTTCTCATTAGATCACTGGAAAGCAGAAGGTGAAACAATGTAAGACATTAATGTCAAAGACTTTCATCTTCTGCTCATATTTTGAAAGATACTTGACTGTTTGATGCTGATTTTCCTATTTCCTTCTACTTCTTCCATCACCCCACTTCCTTCACCACGTTGTGTGATTTTCCTTGTCTCCAACGAGGTATGGTGATAATAATAATGAATTAATTTCATAAGACAAAGTCTAAGTGTAGGCAAATGCAAAAATTCATTTGTTTCTAAATGCAGGAATTGCACACTTTTTAGGGAGCTAAAGCAGAGATAGAGAGTTAAATAAATTTTCAGACTCAAGTCCTCCCAGTCCTTCCAGTTCTCCAGTCTTGTGCCTTTACGTTTAAATGCCACGTGGCCTCACTTCCTGTTCACTCTGTGGGAATCCAGGGGAATTACTACTTTTGAAGAAGTAAGCCACAGTGAGACAGCAAAGGCTTTTATTTTTTGGGCATCACTCCCAGCGTTTGTGCTTCGGATAAACCCGGAGAACTGAACATCCCCTTGAGTTCTTGTTTTCTCCTGTAGCTTTCAGAGGCTTTGGGAATGTTCAGGTCAAGGATGTGCTGTGGCCACTGCCGTTTCTTCTTTCAACTTCAGAACATCAGAAGCACTTGGTTTGCTCTTTTTTATTGTAACTTTTGGTTAGGAGTCAAAGCTCAGCTCAAGACCAAGTTAGAGGACCACGAACATTATTTGAAGAGGAATCCTCATGCAGTTGTAAGGTTGGAGCCTTCAACAGCACCTCTTAGTTTAGAACTTGATCTCAGCCTACAAACCAACCTTGAGTCAGTTCATTCTCCAAGTCCAGCCAGGACTGAATGTGACACAGGCTCAGAACCCAAAGGGTGGGTGGAAAAGACTTTGTTAAACCTCTGCCCCTACTTTTTGTTTAGATCCAACCAGTTCTTGAACAAGGTTTTAAAATCTGAACCTGAATATAAGTGCAGTTCCCAAAATAGAAGAAAATGGTATCTTGGGGCTTATAAAACAAGTTAGGTGAGAAGCCCATTAAACAGGCAGATAGGACATGGGTGGATGATTTTAAACTGAAAGAGGAGATATTTATGTTACATATAAGGAAGAATTTCTTTCCTCAGAGGGTGGCGAGGCACTGGAATGAGGTGCCCAGAGAAGCTGTGGCTGCCCCAGCCCTGGAAGTGTTCCAGGCCAGGCTGAGATGATCTTTAAGCTCCTTTCAGCCCTAGCCATTGTGTGATTCTATGACTGTGATCAGGTGTGTCAGAAAAACCACGTAAACTCCACAGAGTGAACACCACAAATCTGCGAGCTGCTCAAGCTGATCATTCTGCGCTCACATCGCTGCAGTGATTTCCCCCTTTTTAAGCTTTGCCATTTATCTCATAAATGGAGAAGACTGGAGCCTTTGTATTTTGAATGTTGCAAGTTAGATCATGAAGTCTTCAGTTCAAATGATTAGGATTTCTCTGTGCCTGAGAAAGTGTGTAATTCAGGAGGAATTTCCAGGGAAATTAAACAAGGTAAATGTGTTATTTTTTCATCAGTGTTTTCTTCTGTCAGAACTGTGGAAAATTGAATTTGGTTACTGTGGCCCAAAAGTAGCTCAGATCTGACTTCAAGTCCTGACATTTCCTTTGAGACTTGAAATGTTTCCTTTCATGTAATTCACTCTTCTCCTCTTCACCTTTCCGCCACTGTTTACGCCATCTCTTATATCAATATTTCCTTTCCCCACTCTAAAGCTGTGTAAAACTGGAAAACATTTACACTTCCTTTCCTTTCTTTCCATTCTCCCATCTCAGCAGAGCCCTAAGGCCCCCTTCTCTGACCTGCCTGACGATGAGAAGATCTTTAACGGAGGCGATGGCGCGTGGCAGAACCAGGGCCAGAACCAAGCCTTGCTCTCGGAAATCACAGAGGAGGATTTGGAAGCCATCCGCCAACGGGAAGAGGCCATCCAGCAGATTGAGGTCAGTAACCTCCTCCCACCACCAGGTTTTGTGAGCTGGAAGTGCACAATCCTTGCATTGTGCCTTGCTCAACGTGAAGGAAATCCTGATTTTCGTCGCTGCCAGTATGGTGTTGCTAAAAGCGAGGGAGATTATGAAGAATTTCTAAACATGGCAATCAGTGATAAAAGGGAAAGTTGGAAATCTGTGTGATTTGTAATGAAAATGACAAGAGTTAATTAATGTTCATGGGCTGATGGCTGGTTTCTTCCCAATGACTGTTCCATGGCAGAGTCTGTGGTAAGGTGCTTTAATTGAGCTGGGCTCTGCAGCAAAACAACTTCTTCAGTGCACACAAACTTGAAACTGGAATTTGTCACAGGCAAAAAACACTCAGCTTTACCATTAGAGAGAATAATAGCTAGACAAAAGGAAATAACTTGTTAACCTTTTCAAATTATTCAGCATTTTGCTGTGTCAAAGTATTTGGATGTTCTTGACGTAGTTAAAACAGGACATGCTATTTTTATTCCCTCCCCCCTTTTTTTTTATTTTTTTGAAAGCACTATAAAAATATGCAATAAAAGGAACAAAAAGAGGCCTGAATAAGTTAAACATCCCACATTTTTCTTTTTATACCTCCCTTTTTATGCTTTTGGGAAACTCTTGTTAGTTAAATTTAAGTGATAAATGGGTAAAACAAGAACATGCTAAACCTTCCTAATTTGTATGCTTTTACAAACCTAAACTCAAGATGAACCAAAAAAAAGAGGGCTTCAGAATAATCAGAACATTTAATTAAGGGCTATACTTTGTCCTTTAATTGGATTGGGCTAATTTTATCAGGATAGATTTTGGATTGCAGTACAGCAGGAATTGTGATTGAGTTAACAGTGCAAAAAGGGGACAAAAGTTCCTGCTGGGGGCTGGTGCTTTGAGGTTGGGACCTCTGCTTGCAAACAGTGATGGCCACATATGACTCAACTCTCCAAATTAGAAATTTTGACAGTTTTACAGGAGCAGGTCGAGGTCAGTGTTTGTCTAATTTCTGTTGTGGTTCACTGAGCAGAGATGAATGAGCTTTGTGGACTTGTGTCCATTACTAGGGGTGAAACTGTCAAAAAATATTCTCACGCTGAGTATCTTTGGCTGTGAATTGTCATTTTGCACTTCGAGGGATCTCAGTGCATCCAGCAGAACAAACTGTAGGGAACTTTGTTGCAAAGAAAATGCATGTTTTGGGGTGTTCCTGCACTTTGATGTTCAGGAGGGATGGTAGTGAATGTATTTCTGAAATGATCTTGTGAGCAGCATCACCAGCTCAATGGAGATGTGTGAGAACAGTCTGAGTAGAATTTTGTGCTGTGTTGTCTGAGATGACCCTGCTTGAGCAGGGATGTTGGACCAGATGACCCCACTGTGGTGCCTCAGCCATTATGTTGTTCTATGATTTTGTGATCCCTTTTGTTTGAAACACAGTCTGAGCCTTTTTTAGTTTGTCTTTACATTGCCCCTGTCCTCCCCAGGAGAAAAAAAAAAAAAAAAAACAAAAACCAAAAAACAAGCATTTAGTAGTTGCCCATTAGGCAGTGGGAAATGGCAACCCCAAAAATTGCCTCAAGCTCACCAGCATTGAAAAGTCAAGAGTGCAGTTGTGTCTCCTTGGAGATATCTTTATTTATTCTGCTGGTTAAATCCCATTTCTGTGCCAAAATCTGATGCCACTGCACCAAGCTGCACAGGGCCACGTGGCCATGGTGGGGTAGTTGAGCGGGGTGAAGTGAACCCAATCACAATCCTAAATAACATTTAAAGAAAAAAAATCAACATTCAGGTATTGATTCAATATATTCAATATATTGATTTGATCCTGGATACCTTTCTGCCTAATATGAATTTACCTCTGAATAGCTTAGTTTATGCAATTAATTATTTAGTCAGCTTGAGCAGTTAATGATGTTTAGGCTTTTGCTTCCTGAGAATTACCCATTTTTAGTCCATCTCCTCTATCCATTTTCCTGTACTCTCAAAGATCCCTGTTCATCCTCTAACGAGGGCTGCATTCCACAAAAATTATTTCAAATGTAGTTTAAACATTTCTCCTCAGGGGGAAAATATTTAGGACCGATGGCATTTTGTTTAACATCTCTTTTGAAAGAAATATAATGAAAATGAGTTCTTTTGGACAGAATTGTTCCTTTCCCCAGCTGTATTTGAATAAGCAGATGGTGCTTTTAAATAATTTTCACTGTGTTTTGTTTTTCTGTTTGTTGATCCACATGAGCATATTTCTTGTGAAAGGACTCATCTTGCACATTAAAACTTCCCTGTTTTCAGTAGAAATTGTGGGTACACAGAGGATTCCTTGAGCTCACAGTCACCACAACAAATTTTTTCCAGTATATTTTCACAACCAGTGAGTAGCCAAGAAGGTTAAAATGACACATTATTCTAGCTGTCAAAGATAACTAATAAACCAAATTTATTGCCAATTTGATGTATAGCATTTGTTGTCCTTTGTTCTTTGGGGACCAGAATGAAGAACAGGGCTGTGCAGAACTTGTTTTGTGCAAGTAGATTGGTCTCACTGGGATTTCCATGTTGCTGCATATCCAGCACCAGAAACATGCAGATTTTGAGCAGCACAGGAGATACTGAAAAAACATCACATCTTCTGATTACACACAACTTTAAAGAAGCTCATGGTGCTGGTACCAGTCATGGTACTTCTTTTTTAAGAGACACTGAATTTGCCGTTTTTGCAAGAAAAACCTTCTTCATTGCTGAAGAAATAAGGAAATAAGTTCTCTTTTCACCTTGTATCCTGAAAGACAGATATAAAATTGTGCCTATAATAGACATTTTCTTAATGTTCCAATGACTTCTTCCCACTTTTGTGTTTTCCATGTCTCCAAAATCTCTTCAGAGGTTTGGGTTAATGGGACATTGTTCTCTGTCAGGAACATCCCTTGAGGCACTTTTCAGTTCACAGTTTCCACCTAGACAGATAACAGCCAAGTCAAAAGTTCACCTGGCTGTTCATTTTATTTAAATGTGCTCCTTTTGCTATTGCTTGCAGATTAAAACCAGAGACGTCTGCGGAGATGTCTCGCCAAAACCTTACATTTTGGATAAAGATCTTTATTGCTTGGAAATGTCAGAATCTGGTAGGACACAGCAGCCTTGACACAAGTGTTATTTCTTAAAATATTGCTTTGAACTGTTATATAAAACCTATTTTAACTCGAACTGTATTGGCAGTGAATAATAGATGCCATAACAGCTTTATATATAGCACTGTAAAATGTGCCATCAGAAATACATGAGCTGAACTGTAATGTGCATTGTCAGTGCTCAGTGCTGGCACAAGCTCTGTCATAGCAAATATATATATATATGTATATATATTATATATATATATAATTTACCATCCCATACCTTCCATTTGCACCTGTGGTCATCTGACAAATGGGAGGAGATAAAAGTTTGAGAAGAAATGGATAAGCACTGAATGGGGAACATCACAGAATTTCAGCTGATGACTGGAAAGTCCTATAAAAAAAAGATTCTAAATGCTGTATTGATTCGGAAAACCTCGTGTGATCCTCCACATGCAGACAGCTTCCCCAGGGCTGATGAGAAAGGAAAATGAGGAAAACCTCCCCCAAGTTGGTCCACCAACCCTTTTCCTCTCTCACAGGAGTTTCCCATCCCCATGCTCTGCTTCCACAGAGTGGTCATTCTCTTACCTTGGAGGGTGGGAGGTCTCCCTTCCCATGGCACAGGGGTTGGAACAAGATGATCTTTAAAGTCCCTTCCAACCCAAACCACTCTGTGATTCCATGATATCCTGAGGAAAGCAAAACACATCCCAGGAACTGCATTTCAGTTGATGCATCCCTTGGCAAAAAAGAAGGGGAGATGGATAGGTTGTTGCAACAGGTGTGAGGCAAATGCTTTTATTTTTTAAGAGAGGTTGTTCCCTCTGGGTCGTTGTTGGGAAATGTTGATGTTTATTCCCTATCTGTTTTGAAGAGAAGTGATAGATGCCAGCCTCCACGCCTGTCACTCAAGCCTTTGTAGGCAGACAGAAAATGAAGCACAATAAAAATAAAACAAAAGAAAGCCCTACAGAGCCTGGCAGAGCGTGTTTGTTAGTTCAAACATGTTCCTTGCTCCCTCATTACTACGTATCATTTCTTGCTGAGGGCTGTTTTCAGTAAAATCTCTCACCGATGGATGCAGTTTAGAGGGTTTACTGCAAGCTATTTTATACCTCTCATCAGCCTCAATAGTCCAGGTCTTTGACTTATGAGGGCTCTGCCTGTCTCTTCACAGAGGCTTTTTTGACTCAGAGTAATGTATAAATAGCACAAGATCATGACAAGCACCATCCGTGAACGATCTGGCGCCGTGTGAGTGTCAAGCTCTCCTCACGACAGAACTGGGGACCCTAATTATCCTGAGCTGCAGAGCTGCCTGCCAGGTTGACATGGCCATCCCTGGGACTGGTATTGAGTTGTTCCCTAAAGAACCAGCTCCAGTATGCTGCCCAGTCTAATTTAAAATGACCGGAGCTTCAGGACTGCTACCATTTATTTTGGGAGACTATTTCACGGTCCAGCAGGCTTCAGTGTTGATGAAATGCTTCCCTCTGTTCTTGCTAAAGATCCCTTTCTCATTCCTGGCTTTTTACACCTAGTGAAACTCTGCTGGACCCTGCAAGTAATTCTTCTTCCCCTTTGGCTTTTAAACTCTTCAAATGCTAGCAGTTATCCTCTTCTTCACAAGTTGGTCTCCCTGGCTTTTCAGTCACTTCAGCGCTCTCTTCTCAATTATTTCCCATTTGTTAGTTCTTTGCTCCTGCAGCAGCAGACTGTAGATATGCTTTTGGTGTTGTACCAGAGCTGAACAGAAGAAATGTGTAAAAAGCCCCGTGGATCCAATTCAGAGATTACAAGTCCTGATGGAAAATTTCTAGATAATTTCTGCACTAGTAAATTAAACTCAGCAACAACACT